ATTGGAGAAAAAGAGTCTAACTTAACATCAATGGTACTAAGAGTAGCTGTAGATAATATTACATCTGTGGGACGATTATTGGTAATTTTTTCTCTAATGATAAAAATTTTATTTGTGAAGAAGTTCATGAAGTCATTACTGGTTAATGTTAAAGGGACCAGGGGCGTGAACACAAGGGAGGTAAGAATACACAGCGATTCAAAGAATACAGTATAGACTGAAACTAAGAAAAGGCTAGATATAAAAGAAAAAAGAAAATTGGGAATCTAAATATAACTGAGAAGAAGAACCAGGAAATGTCGAAATCAGGTAGACTCGAAACACCAAGTGTTAGAACCAGTGTTTGGAGGCGTGACATTGGTGTTTGACCTTTTTGTTTTTTAGATTAGATTAGAAGAAACTTTATTAATCTCTCGGGTTCCTCCTGGAAATTCAGTTTCCAGTAGCACAGCACCGACAGAAGTTGCATGTTACAGATACAATAAAGCGGAATGAGAGTAAAGATATGAGCATAAATATAGCATATATACACATATATAAATACAGAATAAATAATAGCAATAAATAGGAATACCAGCGTATTGCACATTTGAGTGAGTCTATTGCACAGTGATTATTGCACAGTCGAATATAAGAAAAAAATATTGCAAATATTGCACAGTGAAGAAAAGCACTACAGCTCAGTTGTTCCCGCCCTCCTTTGTCCTCCTTTTTCCCCTCCCCTCTACTCCAACGAGGAGTTAAACAGTTTGATGGCGTGTGGGACAAAGGAGTTTTTAAGTCTGTTGGTTCTTGACTTTGGGAGAAGCAACCAGTCGCTGAATGCTCCTCTGATTATTTATGACCATGTGCAGAGGATACCCAGCATTGTCCATAATGTCCAGCAGTTTCATTAGTGTCCTTTTCTCTGCCACTGTCACCAGAGTGTCCAGCAGGTTAATGCTTAAAGCAGTGTAGTGGAGGTTGTCTGCATCATGGTGTAACTGACTGGGACTTGACACACTGTTCTTAAGATAGACAATTGGTACAGTTTTTTTGAGAAAAGACAGTTATTGTTATCATAAAAATCTCATACATATTCTGTTTAACCAGGTACTAACTCTAAATGGCATTACTAATACCTAATACAGGTCCTAGTTTGGATTTGGGTGACCTCTACTTTTAAGATTAGGCGACAAACTTTCCTTTTTGGTCAAGTTTAGAGTTATGAACGGATCAGGTGACACCAAACCATCTCTTACTTATGCTTCTACTTTCATTCCCATGTGGTGATTCACCACTACAGCATGTCATAGTTTGTATGTTGACATTGTCTCTCTGTGCTCTTCCATTTTCTCTTCTCTAGCCCCTCTTTTCCAAAGCCTTCCTCAGCTTGGTTCTGCTGGAGATTTCTTCCTTTTAAAAGTGAGTATTGCTGCTCATTGGGGATTATCTTATTCTTGGGATAATCTCTATTGAAGCTGGATCTTTACATTTTAAATATCCAATATCCATCCAGTATCCAACACTCATTTGTACAGTTTTAATTCTTCAAAACATCGATTCAAAAAGGTGCTGAAAACCTTGCTCAGACATATTGGTTATACTGATATAATAGCATCTGCTGCAGGTTTGGTATCTGCACATCCCCAATGTGAAACTCGCATCCCAAAGATGCTCTGTCGAACTGGAATCTGGTGACTGTGGAGGCCATGTGAGTACAGTGTGATGTTTCCATGATTCAGTGTATTTGTCCTTCACATGATTGATGTCAAACCTGTCACAGTTTGAAGAATTAATGATGCAAGTGTAGGACTGAAGGCAGACAGAAAGCTAATATTTTATTAGGTTGCAAACAGAATTACAAAATAGAAAAAAAA